GATAATAAAAATTAATAACTTTTAAAAATGGAAACTTGTTTTTTAAATGTTTGTCATTTGATCAAAAATACTGAATAATTTTCGTTAAAAGACTTACTTTCGGAAAAAATTAAAAAAAAACATGTTTAAAAAGTTGTTAATTTGTTTTTATAAAAAAAAACTATAAATAAACAGGTTTCGTCATTCACACATAACATGGTCAAAACAGAATTTTTTGAATTTTCTTTAAAATGAACCAATCAAACTTTCTTTAATTTCCAAATCAGATTTTTTACGGATTTGGCAATTATTAGTTATGGAATTTTTAATTACCAACGATAAGCCTTTAAAGGAAATATGAAATGTAAATAGAATCAATCAAGTTTTTTTAAAAAATTTATAAAGGTGTTAAAAAAAAAAGTTATCGTCTTTAAAAAAAAACTTAAACAAAATGCCTAAAGATATTCAAAAACGTAAATTTATCTCTGAAAGGGTTATTACATACCCTTATCCCAAAAAAGAACAATTTGTTAGCAAAGATATTTATAAAGAAGAAAACTGTCTTCGTAAAAGACTTGAAAGAAGGATTGAAGAGATTAATGAAGCATCTCTTCAAAACATCAGTAGATTACAAGAAGTCATCAAAGAGAAGAATAATTTCATTGACAAATTATTTGACGAGTTCAGATGGCTTGAAACATTCTATAGTTCAAGCTTCCAATATGCCAAATGGGTTTATCAAAATCAACTATTTGTTCCTATCTATCAAGAGGGAGTTGATGAAAACCTATATACTAAACAGGTTTATTCAAACGAGGATCTTTATATAGATCACAAAGTTCTAGTGGACAATACTGAGAGTCTTGATAATCAAAAAGTTAATAATATTGAGAATCTTGATGACCAAGAGGTTCCAAATTATACTGAGAGTTTTGATTCAGACAAAGATGAATTAGATCATTTTAAAATTCCTACTAAGATTCCAGAGGATGAATATGATTTCTTATTTTTTTCTGATACTGATTAATTTTATTTTCTAAATAGTATTTTCCTAAATAGTATTTTCTAAATAGTATTTTCCTAAAACAGTATTTTTTAAACAACTTGTGTATAAATAATTTTAAAATAAATAAAAAAATTATAAAAAGAATAAATATCATCTTTGTCGATTTTTTAAAAAAAAAATTAAATGGGTCGTGATCAAAGATTTAGACACATCATGTCTACCATTTTCTACTGTATTCCTTGTTTAACTCATTTCAAATGTAAGAAAAACCTATCTGATAAGGATAAACAGCAACGAGAAGAGGAATATTCAAATACTGGGAAGGTTCCTCAATGTGATAAATGTCAGAAATTGCATTGGCGTTGCAAAGATAAAAAATGTATTCAATGCTGTAAACTGAATGAATGCAACGAAATTGAATATTCTTATTACAAAGAATCTAAAATCAAATGCCAATACGTCTTGCCAAAGACAAAAGAGGAATTTGCTATATTAGAAAAACTTGGTTTGACATACGTTTCTGGTCAATATGAAGCGACCGATTCAGGAAAATTTCACGAACAATGCTATTTTTAATTCGATAAATGCCAAACAGTAACTAGCGTAAAAAAAATATTCAATTATAATGCAATGAATTTTCTAAGATACTTAAATGGCGATTCTGATAAGAATCGTGATTATAGTCAAAAACAATGGAATCGTTGTAAGGATTCGAACCATCGAAAGAAATGCCGTTGCTCTTTCTAAGAGAAAGAGAAAATTTGCAATATATGCAATAAAGACTGTATAGACAAACGTACTCTTGCTCGTTGAAGAGCTTTAGAATTATCAAGTGGTGAAAATGGCTTTTGGGCTTTTGGAAACTACCGATACCTAGGAGCTTCTACTGAACTAAAAGGTGACGATACATTAAACGAGATGAGAGTGGAGGATATGAAACGAATTGATTAC